CATCAGAGGAGGACCTAACATGTCGGAAAGTACCACGTTCCCTACGGCACAGTGACTCCACCAGCAAGGCGTACGCATCAGCCAGCTCAGCTGCACGTCCTAAATTAACCTCTCCACGCTCCTCCACATGCTTCAAGATGTGAAATGGTATCTTGCTTTTCCACTCCTCCAGGACTACCAAGTTTAGCAAATCCTGAGGTGGCCATTGTTAAGAAAACATAGATAAATTAATTAATGATCAAAATATAAGATAAGTGCATTACCCTAGAAAATATCACGGCAGTGGATAACCAGAAAGTCCCGGAAACTACCCAAGTTATACCTAGGGAAATTACACTTATGAATATTGTTCTTCTGATAAGATCCTTAGATAAGGATAAGAGACTTGAACGAGGAAGGGCGTATTTCGGCATTAATATAAAGATCCGGATTAACAACCCTTAGATACTTGAAACAGGAAGGGCGTATTACGGCATTAATATAAAGATCCGGATTAACAACCCTTGAGTAAACAGGAAGGGCGTATTACGGCATTTATATAAGGATCCGGATTAACAACCCTGAGTAAACAGGAAGGGTGTATTACGGCATTTATATAAGGATCCGGATTAACAACCCTTAGATACTTGAAACAGGAAGGGCGTATTACGGCATTTATATAAAGATCCGGATTAACAACCCGTGAGTAAACAGGAAGGGCGTATTACGGCATTAATATAAAGATCCGGATTAACAACCCTTGAGTTACTTGATTATTGACCCTGAATGAGATAATGAGAAGATCAATAATTGAGGCTTTATAATTATGGGGTCCTGGTAGAGCGGGGCATCCCAAGATATCACTTCACCCTAAACTAGTGACTATGGAACAGCTTACTCTGGAGTGAGGGTACGGCATTAAACAGATCCGGATTCTTCCCTACACTCGATAAGACTTACTACACGACTGCCACGTGTAATAACAGGTAAACCTTATGACACTTGGAACCTAATATCCTACGTCTGTCACTCTTACTGTACGATAATACCAATATATGCACACACATATGAAGGGAACTTTAAACCACAGTAAAGCAATTGTGAACAGAAGTGACTGGGAGGAATAATTAACAGGGAGTAACAACGGGGGGAGAAATATGGCACTTAAGGTAGTGTCCTGTCACGGTCGCCATTTGTTACGAGTTGGGGATTTAGAATTTAGTTAAAAGTCTACCCAGATCCCAACAGGCAACAACAATAAAAAACAAAGACAATCGGACTATAAAAGGGTAGACAAAGGATGCGAGTTTTTGTTGTGTATAATAAAGTACCATAAATTCCTTAACAAAATATTCAGCTTTCTATAATTTACCCTTAACCATACTTAACCTAAACATTAACAGTATATACATGTTTATGCAACAATTTTGAAGCAGGTGGACGCGGGGATGCAATATAAGATTACAAATACTTAAGTGCGGAGCTGAGATGGCTGACGAGTAAGGCTGAGTTTTGTAGAAGACGGTAGGTAGTCACTGTGCCGTAGGTTTCCAGGATAGGTGATCCTGTGGTCACTTCCCAGAGTGAACTGAATTCTCATCGAACTGGAGCTTATGAAGAAGACTTGGAGGAGGTGACGCAACAATCAGTATATGGAGTGGTAACTAAGAGTAGTCATACTCGGGTTTCGTCCCTAGATGGCGTTGCTCGTGGTGCTGGGTAGGTAGATCAGGACAATAGATGGCGTGGTTCGTAACACCGGTTTTATCGATTATTAATAATGAAAATTATATTAAAACATATTAATAAATGTGAAGGGATCCCAGGGTCAACTCATTTTTCTGGCAGAGTCGTCCCTCCATATCAGGCAGCAAAACACCAGGCAGGCTGACCATGATTTCGCTCAACGACGGGCTCGGACACTACGCTGGTTTGCCCGCCAATTTTGCCAGATAACGGGCATTTAACGTGTGCCCGCAGGGCACTGCTCGATCGTGTGGACGGGCCTTTAGACTCAAGAGAGTTTCCTGCCGAATACCAAATTGCAGGTTACAAATTATTCCACACGGATAGGCAGATTAGGAAAGGAGGAGGAGTAGCAATCTATGTGAGGGATAATCTGAAATGTGAAATAAATAAGGAAATAAAAACTGAAATGAATACAAAAACAATTTGGATAGAATTAATCGATGGTAGGGATATGTTAATCGCAGGAGTAATATACAGTATAGACCTCCTAATCTTGATAGAGTTAATGAGCGACTTATTTGGGATGAAATGTACAATGCTTCCATACATAGCAAAATCTGTATCGTAGGTGACTTTAACTTTAGCCAAATGGATTGGATTGTCCTTATGGGTAACTCAGAATCAGAGGATTTTCTTGAAACAAACCAGGACTGTTTCCTAACTCAACATACTGTATAACCGAACCCACCCCGGGTAATAATATACTCTCTTTAGTTCTGTCAAACAGAGAAAACTTCATTAGTAATGTCGAGGTATGGAACGAGCATGCCAACAGCGATCACAAAGAAAGAAGATTTCAATTATAATTTAATGGCAGACGCAGGGAAAATTCCATTAAAGTCCCAGGTACAGAAGGGCAAACTTTGATAGGTTGAAAAGGCAGCTGAGAGAAGGGGCATCACGTTTGGTTAAGGATTACATGACCTCACGTGAGGTGACCTCATACAACGTACCCTCAGAGGGCAAGCTCCCTTTACCTGGATACCTGACAATGATATCCTCACAAAATATAACATAAGAACATAAGAACATAAGAAAATAAGGAGTCTGCAATAGGCCGGTTGGCCTGTGCATGGCAGCTCCTGTCGAGATCTGATTACGAGATCTGAGGTTGACGAGTTGCACAACAATTTAAATAATAAGTTACTTGATGCACAAAGGCAGATCATACCGGGCCATTGAGAGAAGAAGGTAAATCAGGCAAATAAATTATTGGGTCTTATAAGAAGTTCGTTCAGATATCTACACGGTCCGTCCCTCATAACGATCTTCAAGCGTGAAGTGCTTCCTTATCTGGAGTACTGTCACCCCGTCTGGTCCCCGAGATATGCTAGGGACTGTCAGTTGGTTGAAAATGTTGAAAGGAAGGCCATCTCTGGAGTACTGTCACCCCGTCTGGTCCCCAAGATATGCTAGGGACTGTCAATTGGCTGAAAATGTTCAAAGGAGGGCCACCAGACTGGTGCCTGCACTTCGGCACCTCAGCTACCCTGAGAGATTGGAGCGCCTGAGCTTGCCTATCTTATACTACAGACGGGAAAGGGGTGACCTAATTGAGGTGTATAAGCATCTCAAGGGGCACTGCTCAGTCGAGTGTCCTTACATGGAGCTGGTGGACGCTTGCCCCACAAGGGGTCATAGCTCAAGATTGAAGAAGCCGCAAGTCCAGAAAACTGTGAGGGCAAACTTTTTTGGAGTGAGGGTTGTGAACTCTTGGAACAATCTGCCAGAAAGTGTTGTGACAGCACTGAGTATGAGCTCTTTCAAGACAAGACTTGACCAACACTGGAGCGGGTTCAGGTACATTCAGGAGCCGGTGCATGCCCAGTACTTGCCAACAGTGATTAAAAGTGACGTGACCGATAGCCTAAGAGAATAAAAGAAAAGGAAAAGTTGTAGTGGATTCCTCCCTTACAAGCGCCGTTTGTCGCTGAGTAGCCGAACCTTCTCGAATTCCCCAGCTTACGCCTCCAGCGCCGCCTGACGGACCGAGGGTCAACTATCAACCCACGCCTACCCCCTCCTTATAAGACCTGACACCTCTGTGACCAGCCTCTTTCTACCCACGGCCACCAACAAGCAACACCTCCTCCTCCGCTCAAGCCTGGCAGCTCCCGCTCCCGCCGGCTACCTTGGAGTCCCTCAAGCCACGTGCCCTCCTTTGGGCACCCTCACCAACCAGCTCTCTCTACTCAACGCTTGTAACCATGCTGCATACCCAGCAACAAGCTGCATTGTACATCCAATACAATATGTATACAGAGAGCACATTGTGAGTTTCCTTTCTCCACCCCATCCTGAGTGTGAACCAATATCTCTTAACCTCACAAATTAATCAGAGACGTGACCGATCGCCCAAGCGGCTAACGAGCTGATCAGTGGTGAAGAGGATAAAAGTAAAAAGTAAAAAATAGTAAGAGGATAAAAATAAAAGTAATAGGCCTCCGGTGTCTGTTGTGTGTGTGTGTGTGTGTGTGTGTGTTGGTGGGGGGGGGGGGCGCTGATGTCAACCTTCATAATTTTTCACTTTATTCTGAGGAAGAAATTTACCCCTTTATAATCACACCTACTTATTGCAATCTAAGTGAACTAAGATATGTGAGTGATCATGCCGTTATGGCAGACTAATATTATAAAAAAAAAATCGCTTTGCTGTCCTGCTGGTCTTGACTTCATTGGCATCCTTGTTCGTCCAGTGTTGCCGTCCGAGACACTTCGGCTTCGTATTTTGCTTTTTGCTTCATTTTTTTTTGTACTATTATTTTCTTTGTGTACTAACGAAAACAAGTCACTTTCTATGGGTAACTCGCTCATTTCACACATGTTTTGTGAACGGCTGAGCATAATATGGATAAGAGTGGGTATTAATATTCTAGACGTGTAACTGTGACCGTTACACAAACACAGCGAAAATCCAAGTGACATAAGACGATCGTCTGTTTTATGCGATTCAGCTTAACCTAAGCTATGGGATGGCAAAAACCGCATAAAACTAATTATCGCTCAAATAGGGATCACCCCCGACGCCTAGTATCTTGAGTATACGAGTGATCGTATGTGATTGTTTCGTGGATTATATCTGTAGTGTTGCTGTTACATTTTGATGTTGATTCCAACTACACTATTCGCTGTTGTATCCCTGCTTACTTATAAATGAGAAACATAAGCTCCAAGAAACGTTATTTGCAATAAATTACTTTAACACGCATTAGCAACTCTAGTCTCGATAAACATTCTCAAGGCCAGTTGATACCTGGTCCCAGGTATAAGTTCTGGCTGCCTAACGGCCAGGGTTTAGTGAAACTTCTGTTGTGTAACCGAGGTTAGTTTGCGTTACGCTCTGCTGTAGATTGTCAAATAACCAGATTCTACGAGGTGAGTTTCTATATTTCATGGGTTTATACAGGGGGTTTCAATAAATGAAGGGATGTGATGAATCGTTAAAATCACTATTGGTGAATATATCTCGATACGGTAGTTTCAGTTTTAAATACAGTATTATTGTTGTGCTTCTATAATTGAATACAGAGATACAATACTATATTTCAGGTTGCAGGCTGTTAAAATCTAATACTGTACAGGGTACATATTTTAAAAGGTCAGCCTTGCGAGGTGGTGAGGAAGTTTATACAATAGAACAAAATTATATTAATCTCTATATTGTTGCGTGGTTTTGTTACATTTGATATGAAAACAAAAACAAAATAGAACGATTACCTCGCAAAAACATACATAGGTACGTATGCACAAATACACGGTTAGTAAGGTGATAGTGGCGAAAATTATAAAAAAACGCGGCGAACCGTATAATGACATGGGTCCCAAGACCAGTCCCTAGGTGTGTCCAGGTTTTTAAGAGGCGCCCAATTTTTTTTCTAGTGCAGTGCGGATGCACGATAACGTGACCTCTTGTGTACATAGTACACAATAACCAGATAACATTCTGTTTATTATAATCACATCATGTCATTTACGACAAAATTATGATTATACCGTTGTAAATGATAGAAGGACCCCCCCGGGAAATTAGCACCTGGCAGCTTTGTTGGCTTTCCTTGGTCAAATTGCCTTACTGTTTACCGTTGTCGTTTACTCTCTCTCTCTCTCTCTCTCTCTCTCTCTCTCTCATATATATATATATATATATATATATATATATATATATATATATATATATATATATATATATATATAAAATATATGAAACAAGAAAACACGAAGTTCCCAATTGGTTTCGTGTAATTCTCATCTTCAGTCTGTACTCATCCCTGAAGATGTGAATTACACGAAAGCGCTTTGGAACTTCGTGTTTTCTTGTTTTCTTGTCGTTAATTTTACTTTTTTTACTTTTATCCTCTTCACCACTGATCGGCTCGTTAGTCGCTTGGGCGATCGGTCATGCATATACAGAGTATATAAATATATATAATATAAAGGGATAGGATCATTTATTCATATTGCTTGAGACTTGGGAGTTACCTAATAAAGTTATTTTTCGGAATTTGGAGCTCCAGGCCTAAAATGTACTAAATGCGCAGTTAAACTTATTTAACTGCTGTGAAGCTTCTGTTCACATCACAAGATTAACCTCTAAAAGTAGCATTTATGTAACTGTACTGTACACTGTAACATTAAAACTTAAAATAGTAGGCACATAAATCGCAATAACGATAGCATAAAGCAAACTTGATACAACACCCAAAAGCAAAAAACAAAAAACAAGCTGAACTGTCTCTGACGGCAACGCTGGATGGACGAGCGTGCCAGCAGAACAGCTAGGTAATTTTTAAATAATTATCCTCCACAAGGGCATGAGCGCACATATATCTTTGTTCACCTAGATCACAATTGTAGGTGTAAATATAGAGGAAGTCATCCCAGCAAGGGGTTACTTCTTCCTCGTGATAAAGTGAGAGATTGGAGATTAGCTTCACCCGTCCCCCACGGAGGCACGGAGGCCAATGTACTTTTACTTTTATTATAGTATCCCTCCGCCAATGATCGGCGCAACGGCGCTCAACCCTAGCCACCACCTTGTCAAGGGGGACTTTAACTATGGCGATTCGACTGGAGAAATGAATCCACGCCAAACGACATTAAAAATCCTGCGACTCTTTTTGTAGAAACTCTGAGAGACAATTTGCTATTCCTTCATGTTAAAGATCCGGAGGTTATAGTGGCACCAGTCACCACGTAACGTTATCCGTTAGATTTAACTGTTACTTGGTTCATGAAAAAAAAACAGGCGAAGGTTAAAATATTAAAAGGGTAATTAAGACGGGATGAGAGAGGAGAATGAGGGTATTTACTGGCCTGACTCACTAAGATATAATAACGCAGATACTACGCTGAATATCAAAGCCAGGAAAGTTAACTATTTATACAGTGGCGTAGCTAGAGTGTGTGCCGCCCGGGGCGGCCCTTGAGTTTGCCGCCGCCCCCCCCCCCCGTGACCCTACAAAAAATACATATTGCACAGTGACTCACTCTTTTATATATATATATATATATATATATATATATATATATATATATATATATATATATATTAAATAGTTTGCCTTACTGTTGTCAGACAAAAGCCACCCCGATCAAAGTATATGGCTTTTGTCTGGGTGGCTTTCGTGGCTTTTGTCGGGGGGGCTTTTGTCTGTACCCCAGTGAGGATAGTGTCTTAGTATAAAATCGCAATGCTGTGAAACAAAATCTTAATATTTAATCTCAGTACCGCAGCAAAAGTCACATCAATATTTTTTAACCAATACTTTAATATTTCTTACCTTATAGTATTATGTCTTCCAACGAAGTAAATAACTGGATCGAAAACACAAGAGAACTTAAAAGTCGTCTAGCCTCCCCTCGTCTTGTCACGATGGAGACTTGTGCAGAACTGAAGTGAATTGCTTGTAACTGGTGGATTGGTCGGCTGTACATGAACTGATATGACCCGAGACTGCATGGTTTTGCAGCTACTGGAGACGTTAATCCTTCCCTTTGTATCGGCGGCAAGTTAATCCTCGTCGTGTCTGACCTAACACCTGACCCACACCACATGAGCTCACTGGCGTACTTGTTTGAAGTTGTTTCCTTAATCCTCAACAGGTTACAGGTTGTGTGTGTGGCGGGGGGGGGCGCATAGCAAGGGTGCAGCTCATGACGTGGCCGTGATGATGTGGGTCAGGTGTTAGGTCAGACACGACAAGGATTAACTTGCCGCCGATACAAAGGGAAGGATTAACGTCTCCAGTAGCTGCAGATATGGGTGATGAGCAGACCCAAAAGTGCCGCCCCCCCAAAAGTGCCGCCCGGGGCGGACCGCGCCCCCCGCCCCCCCCCTAGCTACGCTAGTGTATTTATACGATAAATATATACCCAAGACGAAATCCAGTGCATTCATTGGTTCAAAGTTAGACATAAGTTAACAGATTAGTGCAAAGTGATGAAGAATATAGGTTAAGAGTTAATGCTGTAAAGACGAAAGTAATGTTTTTTTCCTAATTAGAAATATATCCTAAAATAAATATTATGGTAGGCAACAGGAAATTTTAAAGAAGTGGAAAATTTCGTGCATCTGTGAAGGAACATTAGCTGTGATGGTAGATGTGCGAAATAAATAAAAACAAGAACAGGTCAACCAAAATCAACATTAAATAATTTGAAAACCCTAATAAAAATGAGCAATGACTTGAATTTCGGTATAAAGCTGCTGAAAGGCTATAATGGTCTGGACCGTTTGTTGTATGGGTCAGAAGATTGGACACTTTCAGAAAACACCAGAAAGAGGTTTGAGGCCTTTGGAATAAGGTGTTATAAGAAAACAAATGAAGGCGTACAAATATTAGCAAAAACCAAGAGAAATACTTGAAATTTAGAGGAAAAGAAAAATGAGATACTTTTCGGTCATATAATAACGGAAGAGGGGATAATAAGTGAAAGTAGGTCCCATAGACATGACTGAACATTAGGGGAAGTGTGAATGCAGCACACTGTACTTTTATCCTCTTCGCTAATTATCGGCTCGTGAGCCGATTGTGCGGTCGGTCACGTCTCTGTTACACTGGCCATGCACTGACTCCTGAATGTATCTGAACCTGCCCCAGTGCTGGTCAAGTCTGGCCTTGAAACAGCTCACACTCGGTGCCGTTGTAGCGTACTGTTGTGGCAGGTTGTCAAATTCTCTTTATATGGTCTCACAACGTACGTACAGGTAATATATCTAACACTCAGGATTGAGGTAGAAGACATACTCACAATGCGTTTATTGTATATATATATATATATATATATATATATATATATATTGTTGTACAGTGTAGTGTTAAGGAGTTACTAGGTCAGCAGAAGCTTGCTCAGAGTTCCTGTTGGGCGAGGAGCTTTCTGAGGGAGCGTGTGGTGAGGAGCTGTTGAGAGATGTTGCTGGTCCGGTAGCCGAGTGTAGAGTGCCCTCCCCGGCTGTTGTTGTGTTGTTGTTGAGATTGTCGGACCGTAGTCCGACACGGGCCTTTGCCTATAGGCGGCCCGTTTGGTGGTTCCGGCTGGAGCTCCTGGAGCAGCCAGACCGGATTGGGATTGGAGGTGGTCCTACCAGCAGATTTGGAAGGATACTGCAGGTTGCAAGTGTGAGCGGACCCCCGATCAGTGGACGCTTACCACCAACCCCCACTCTTGGACGTGGTCAGTTTCAGAGTGGCGCGCCCCCTGAACTGGGGTCCGCACTTGCTAGGAGAGGATACTTTCTAAGCTATCTGGGTGGTGGGTATCGTGTGATGACCCGGAGAAGGTGGTGAATGTGGTTTGTTTGGGCCTTTCGGGTTAGAGTGGCCTCTGGTGTTGTGTGTGCTTCTCGGGAGATTTGAGTTCTGTTTCGAAGGCTTTGTGTGACTTCGCAGGGGGCAACTACAAGTTGTGAAGAAGCTGTCCGACAACACTGCCCTCATCGGACACCATACAACCTTACCCAAGGAGGCTCAACTGGCGTGGGTAACTGTGCCAGTCAAGCCCTACTGCAGACCGAAACGCTGTTACAAATGCCAGCACTACGGACACACTGTCAACAAGTGTGAGGCGCAGGAGGACACCTGCTCCCTGTGCGGCAGCCCCGGACACCGCTACACGGTCTGCCCCAACACAGTACAAAAATGCGCTGCCTGTGGCGGCCCACCGCCGATCGGACCTGCCCGAAATGGAAGGAGGAATGCAGGATAGCCAAGGCTCGACTCGACAAGAAACTGAGCTACAAAGAGGCCCTCCTTGCTGTACGCTTCCAAGACAAGAAAAAACCAGCAGAAAAGAAAAACCAAGAAAAGAAAACTCAAGAAAAGACACCCACCACACAGAATCAAGAGCACCATGAGGCCCGTGGAGCTCAAGCCCAC